TAACAATAACTGTAACAATAACTAACGGTAACTGTAACAGTAACTATAATGATAACAATAACTGTAACAGCAACTGCAACAATAAATAATGATAACAATAACTGTAACAATAACTATAATGATAACTAACAATAACTGTAACAGTAACTGTAATAACTGTAACAATAACTAGCGGCAACTGTAACAATAACTAGTGATAACTGTAACAGTAACTGTAATAATTGTAACAATAACTAATGGTAACTGTAACAATAACTAGTGATAACTAACAATAACTGTAACAGTAACTGTAATAACTGTAACAATATCTAACGGTAACTGTAACAATAACTAGTGATAACTGTAACAGTAACTGTAATAATTGTAACAATAACTAATGGTAACTGTAACAATAACTATAGTGATAACTAACAATAACTGTAACAGTAAGAATAACTTGAAAGATAACTGGGTTACACTTTATTTTAAGGTGTCTTTGTTACATTGTAATTGTACATATAAGTACTCAGTAATATTAATTAACTACATGTACTTACTGTATGGTTAGGGTTTGACTTAGGATTACTTGCATGTAATTATGCACAATTTATTGTTGTTATAATAGTAAATACATGTAACCTGTAACAAAGACACCTTAAATTAAAGTGTAACCGATAACTGTAACAAACAAATTAGAGTTTTAGTGATAACTAACGATAACTAACAATGACTATAAAGATAACAATAACAAATTATAACTGTAACAATATCTATAATGATAGCTTTAACAAAAACTGTAACAGTAACTGTAACAATAACTATAATGATAACTAACAATAACTGTAAAAGTAACTGTAATGATAACAATAACTGTAACAGTAACTATAATTATAGCTTTAACAAAAACTGTAACAGTAACTGTAACAATAACTATAATGATAACTAACAAAAACTGTAACAATAATGATGATAACTAATAATAACTGTAACAGTAACTGTAATGATAACAATAACTGTAACAGTAACTGTAATGATAACAATAACTTGGACACTCATTACTAATCACTACTGTCATCTGAGGCACTGCTGAGTATGAAAGCATTCATGAGGACTCGAGTCTCACCGGAGCGGCTGCACTGGGAACATTGAAGCGGATCCCGCTGGTCGTTCCCACCGGCCTCTGCTGCGCGCACACACACACAGAGACACACACACACACACCGTCACTGGCGTTCAGAGTCAGAGTCATGGTAACAAGCGTCGCTCATCTATCTGCTCACCTGGATGGTTTTGGTGATTTTCAAAAACGCTGCGCTCTGATTGGACGCCGTCGGGACGCTCCTCTTTAAGCTTAACCTATCGCGCACGTCCACAACTGTCGTGATCCCGCCCCCCAGCTGCAGGGCCATGCCCATTCTGGTGCTCTGGGGCCGGGGCCCGGCGGAGACGGGGCCGGTGTTGTGGATCTGGACGTGAGGGATTCCCGTGGGTTTGACGGGCGTGGCGCTCGGAGGCGGAGCCTGCTGCTGTTTGCGTGAGTTTAGCAGCTGCCGCGCGTCCTGTACGGCTCCGGCTCCTCGCCCCCGGATCCGGAACCGAGCGTCCTTCTGCCCCAGCTTCTCTCGCGCATCCTTCACCTGAAACGCTGCACGGACAGAGCGATGAACAACGCGACAGAGCCCAGAGTAAACCAGAGCTAGCGCCAATCGCAGGGCGCTTACCTCCTGTAGCTCCGCCCACTCCCAGCCGCTGTCTGACATCACCGCTGCCAATCATCTGACGGGCATCGAAGGCCCTGCCCACTGGCCCCGCCCCTCTGCCATATATGGGCCTGTGGGAGGGACAACAGCAGTTACAAACCAATGACCAACAGAACTCGAATTCGAAACTATTTTCCTTTATACTCGTATAGATGCATACATACCCATACTATATACGGTGAAAAACTGCATTGTACATTACATGTAATTTTACGTTAGTATACAGTTTTTAGAAGTGAAAAAGAACGTATAATTTACAGTGAGAAACCGTAAATTGACATTAAAAAGGAATGTGTATGCACATGTATATATATATATATATATTTACAGTGTACGCATCTGTTTTTCTCTGAATCAAAAGCACTTGTAGTCTCTCACGGCTGTCGATCGAAGGATATCGGTCGATACATCGATCAGTCACTGAGGGAACTCGCGTGCTAATAACAAACGCGCTCAGAGTTTCTGTAGATAATGTGAAAGATACGCAGAAATTAAATGAATGTAATGTACGAGGTTTGTTTGTAAAAGCAGCCGCGAACAGAAACGCGCAGGACGCCACGAGTCACGCGCGTCAGCCAATGAGAAGGCGAGCGTGAGCGCTGCGTGCGGCTCAAACGGCCGTATTAACCAATCAGCGGCGAGAGAAGGCGGGACATCGCGCTCAGCACCAGGAGCTACACGACTGCGTTTACAACGACAGAATAACGCTAAAACGCCCCGGCGGTTTAAATGAACGCCGTTCGAAGAATCTGAACAGATTTACCTCTTACTGACTCCTCTAGCGTTAAAACTGCGTCGACGAATCACTTCATCCAGAGAGAGATCCGCCATATCTGCGCTTGTGTGGATTCTGTGCGGAACGCAACACAGCACGCATGCGTTACGTACATATGGGCGGGGCAAAGCGGTGCGTGACGGAAAGCGGAAAGGGTCAAAATACACGCGGAACACGAGAAAACGCGAGAGCCGTATCTTATTCAATCATCACATAGATAAAAAACAACAACAAACATTTGAACTATTTTCAAAGTACCTCTGCAACTATTAAGTTTTTTATTATTTTTTACATTCTTTATATTAATGAATGTGACGAAAGCAAAACATTATATTAATGACGAAAGAAATCTAACCCAAAAAAGCAGGTTTTAATTTTTGGTACATTTTTAAACACAATTTTACACCTGAATTTTTTTTTTGTAACGGACATTCCCTGGAAGCAAGTTTGGTCATTACCTCACAAATACTTTATTACTAACAAAATGAGAGAAATTGAGTTAAGCTGATTCATAGAGTTTAAATACTGAAAGCGCAAAACTATTGTTTTTTTCATAACTTAACACAACATACATATATAGAGGATCACAGTGTTTTAAACTATGATCAGTTACGTTTTTAACAGCGTCAAAGGAACAAACTAAAGACAAAAGGCGCTAAGCTCCGCCTCCAAAAAGCGAGACGCGGTGACGTCACGGCCTATCCCACAATGCACCGGCCGAAGCCCTCGCTCGAGCCACAAACGAGGCTTTTTCTCGCTCTGTACACTATTAAGTGCACTCGTGATGTGTGTGTGTGTGAGAGGAGGAGTGCCGGGTGTCATCGGTGGCCCGCGGGCGCACTGCGCGTTTATCGCTCGCTCCTCACCGTCGCGGAGAAGCAGGGCGCGCGGGAAGACCACCGCGAGCGCAGCACTCGGTGCCTTATGCCTTAAACTGATGAGTAAGGAAAATAACGACGCGGGGTGACGCCCGTGTCCTCGCTCAAACTCGCGAGAGAAATTTTTGAACGGGTACAGGTCCGTCTGCGAGGTGACTCACCTACTTTAGTGAGATGCCGAGCAAAGCCAGGATCTGCCCCGAAGCACCTGAACGAGTTAAACACAGAACAGAGCTAGAGCGCTACTGACGGGATGAACGAGTCTTTCAGAAGATTCGGATCAGTTTCGCTGAATGACTCAGTGACTCGAAGCGCTCGCACGCCGGCGACGCCTGCTGGTCAAAAGTGCGTAAATGCATAAAACATCTTTTTAAAACCCCAATGCAAACGTCTTTTTACTTTTACTTTACTTTTAGTCATTTAGCAGACGCTTTTATCCGAAAAATTAAATAAAACTAAAACTTAATAAAAAACCTATATAGACATAATAAAAAACTAATAAAATGACAACATTACTACAACTGTAACTAAAACTAAAATAGATAACTAATACAAATCAAACTACATTAGTTTATCAGTAATCCTAAAAAAATAGCACTGAGCTAAACACACATGCTAAAATAACAACAACTTACTGACACACAGCGGTTTCTGTAGTTAACACTGGGGCTGATCTGTTTGAGTTTCTGCAGAACGCTAGTAAACTATAAAACAGCCACGGGGCGTGTGGGCTCCATAATCATACATAACGATTACAATATTCGTCTGATTTAAAAAAAAAGTTTTCATTTAATGAAAAAATAGCCTTATTTATTATAAGCTTAATAAAGATAAAACCGCCGGTAGGTGGCAGCAAGTCCCTGTTTTAATAAATGATTTATTGAATCATTCAAATCAAACGATTCGTTCAAAACGGCCGCTTCAATTAGAAGCTAAACTAGTGAATGAACCGTTGAATCACCGGCTCACTCGATTCGATCAAAAATAGATTCGTTCAAGGAACGAGACACCGTGTAGTATTTTATAACTAGTGACCATGCTTAATCAAATTAAATACGATTTTTAATGTTTTTTAAAGAAGTCTCTTATGTTCACCAAGCCTGCATTTATGTGATCCAAAGTACAGCAAACGCAGTAATATTGTGAGATATTTTTACTATTTAAAATGGCGCCGATGATGATGTAACAGTAACTAACGGTAACTGTAATGATAACAATTACTATAGCGATAACTAACAATAACTGTAACAGTAACTGTAATGATAACAATTACTATAGCGATAACTAACAATAACTATAATGATAACTAACAATAACTGTAACAGTAACTGTAATGATAACAATAACTAACGGTAACTGTAACAATAACTATAGTGATAACAGTAACTGTAATAACTGTAACAATAACTAACGGTAACTGCAGTTGTTTTTGAGTTTTTGTTAGTTTGTCCTGTCTTTTATGGAAGCATATGTGTAGCAAAATTCAATTTGCAATGTAATATGCAAAATGGCAATGCAATATTCAAAATGGCAATGCATTTCTGTATTTAAATTTACATTTTCCATTACCCACATGTGCAAAGTTTGGTGCAGAAGGAAAATGAAAATGAAATTATATTACTTACATTTGCCATTTCCAACAGTAGTCTTAATATGTAAAGTGCATACTGTTTTAACGCTTTATATGTTGCGAAATGAAAATGAAAATGTATAACCCAAATTGATTTGATATGTGTAACATGTCCAAGCAGAAATAGTAGCAAAATTATCATTTAAATGTTATTTGTCCTAAATGCATTTAAACTAACATTTAGGACACTTACAATTGCATTGTTACTGACGATCACATTCGTTGACCATCGTCTGTATGAGAAGTGCTCGTTTTGGACAAAACAATGGGACGACGGCTTTAGCCGCGGGTCACACTGCACTTTGAGCACACGTAGCTTACATAACAAAAAAATTTAATAATCAACCCAAAACGCAAAAATATCCAAAGCTTCACTTTACTGCAAAAAGTTTCTTATTCTTTTAACACAGCTAAAGGTCGCATTGTGATCGGTACTGGTCACGTGATACGAATTCGCACAATTTCGCAGGTCAAGAGTTCGCCAAACGTGAAGCAGCGAAATCGAATTCCTCGCATGATCTCCCACATTCGCATGTGTTTAAATCCTGGTTAATACAGTTGGCAGTGTAAAAGTAAAGTAACTCTGCTGTACTTTGGAGATTATTAAATTGTATGTAATCTCTATTAAAAACAGGAGATGCTGCATTAGGGGATGGAGTAAAACGGCACTTTTTCTCATTGCTAATGGAAAAGCTCCACCATGGATTTGAACTTGACATCGGTGAGTTATAATTGAAAACATTTTGAAATGCTTGGACATACCATTTCCTTGACCTCCACTTTAGTCACTGTTAGAAATACAGACATACAGGATGTAATACACTTTAGCTTCTTTCTTTTTAAGTAGATTTAATAGTTATGAGCATAGATAATATAGGAAGGGATGATTAAGCACGCTCATCTGAGTGCATTTTACTTGTTATGAATTTTTCAGATAACTGTGGCAAAACACTGCTCTTCAATGGCGAAGATGATCACAAGGTTCCTTCAACATCCAGAGCACTCTTGGATGGTGATCTGTTCATATATATATTTATACATATAAAAAAGTCTAATCATATAGCCCAGTTGGTGGGTTGTTTGTAATAAAACACTAGGTCAGTGGATGAATTGCATTGTTTCAACTCTTATATTAAGGCTTGTATTCAGTGCTGCTATCTTTGTATTAGATGATACTTAGGAGAGTCATCTGGCCAGAGCCTGACAGTGATGAAGATGAAACCCCTTTGAACCTGGAGCAATCTTGTGATGTTACGGCTTTCTTGCGTGAATATATTCAAAAAGGTCAAATGTGCTATTGTAAATGTTTAATTTGAAAAACAAAACAAAAATGTAATGTGCATTTGCATTTAATTTATTTAATACACGAGTTTCACAATTTGAGTTGAATTACTGAAATAAATGAACTTTTCCACGACATTCTAATTTATTGAGATGCACCTGTAGTTGCAGATGATTGCATATGTAGGAATTATGCAATGAAAAATATTGTTTTACCCAAACTGATGCAGGATCACCTGCTGAACTGTCCGAGTTGCTGAAGTTTTGGACTGGCTGGGCTGTTCTCCCTCAACACCTGTATGTCAAAGTATCACCTGACCTATCACTCCCAGTGGCTTCAACCTGCCTCACAACACTGAAACTTCCTTTAAGATGCAGAAACTTTCTTGCATTTACAGAAGCAATGAGAGCCGCCGTTTCATCCACAAGGTTTGGCTTTGGCCTTATCTGAGTTGTAATATTTAAAAGTGTTCATGTGGAGAACTGCATATTTAGGAAAACATTTTAATGACATGTTCGTTGTCTACAGTATTTTTCACATTTCTTGCTTTTATAAAAATGCATGTTCTTGACAGGAAGTTTTAAAGAGCTCTCATTGCAGTGGTGGAAATTCTAATGAGTAAAGTTAAGTTAACCTTGAGTTAAGTGAAGAACAAATTAATTACAAATGTTAAAGAAAACGACTTGTTTCTCTCACTTTTTTATTGTCATACATTTTGTCATGCATGTTCTTAGGACATTTTGTAGTTCAGGCATTTGTCGAAATAAACTCGCCAAAGGAAAAGCTGTTTGTGATGTCCATGCATGTTCAAAACGTTCAATGTCTAAAAATCTCTGTCAGTTGGGCTACTGTGCTCATGTAGGTATCGATTGCCTCATTTATTGGCATTTCCCGGTTCGGAAGACCTGCCAACTCCTCTGCAGTGAGATGTCGTGGTAACTCTACATCTGGGATTGAAATGCTGCCTGCATCTTCCATGGCATGTGGTCCATCCCAGTCAACACCATAGTCATCATCAACCTTGCAAAATACCAGGACAGATGCTTTTAAATTATACATCTACCAAAACATCCAGTAAATGTTACAAGCATTTGTCACAAAGGCATATATTTTTTGTTCTGATGTAGGTATGAGTGAGTGTTGTTAAATTACATTAATGTAAGTGTTAAACATTAGGATATTTTAAAGAATGTTGGTAACCAAACAATTCTGGGGCACCACTGGCTTCCATAACATTTGTTTCCATACAAGTCAGTGGTGCCCCAGAGCTTTTTGATTACAAACATTCTTCAACATATCTTCCTTTGTTCAGTAGAACAAAGAAATAACTTGAGAGTGAGTAAATGATGAAAGAATCTGTATCGTTAATGCCAGAGTACA